AACCGCCGTTTTCGAGCTATTGCTCTATGCCTGTCCCGCCGTTGACGCCCAGTACACGTTACTATAAATTTTTATGGTCGGTTGTCAGTGTGAGTGCACGAATTCGCTATATTTTATTCGCAATTGATTGCCGTTCACTTGATCTCAATCTACCTGTACCTAAATCATCGAGGTTTCTGTATTATCATGTCATTTCCATTCCTGTTTCGATCATTGGAATAGATCTAAGTCTGGGCTATTTGTTTTGACCATTTGATTCTTGTACGTTGGTTGGGTAAAATTTACAGTGAGTTTTACTAATGATTAAGTACTTTTAAGTACTGTTACTACTTCGAGAATTGCGGTGGTGGTGATCAATCATTTTAAATTGCCTTCATTGGCGTGTTTCTGGTATGAAGTTCTGAGGTTCCAACGCTGTCATCACTGTTTAACTTCAGTGGTAGACAGTTTCATTTTGTTTAACTCCATACCACGCCTATACCAATTGTGTCCTATATGTTTCGCCATGCCGAACCCGAAGGACTAGGTTTTCGGTACAGTAGGTTGTCATGACTACACGATTTGTCCCTGGCTAAGGTTCAACACACAGATGTAATTAAAAAGAACTGTGAGTTCAATGGGAAGCAACGATAAAGTGTTTGGGAGATTATCTCTTTAAGAAAAATGTATAGAAGAAAAACAGTTTACCAAGATTATTTTTCAAAACTGGTATAAGTGCCATTGTTTCACGATGTGCCCAGTCTAGTCGTACAGTATCTGAACTATTTCCTTCCACATACAGCGTTCGGAATTGTCAATTGGCCGATTTAAAATCTCTCCCTAGAGACCGCGGAGGTTGCCCGAATTCATCACCGTAGCCCCTTGTGCGCACCAAAAACTTCGTGAAATCACTCAATCCTTCATGGACCCCGTCCACCCTACCCCGTAACGTACTCCCCGGCCCCACCTCTTATTAGCAGCGCGAACTGGGCTAAGTATTATAGTATTATAGTATTATCAAACACATTCGGTTTGTAGAAATCGGACAGATAACAGACAATCCCACTTTGTGGGTTGATTGCCTAAATTGTCTTTATTCTTACACGAAATAATGTGACGCGAAATAGGATGTCTAAATTAATTGATGACTCTCCATAGACTAACTGGTTCTTTCAACTGTTTTCTTTCAATATATGCTGTTTTGGTCTTGATCATACACAAATTGTATGCCACCTACAGCTGAAAGGCTTTGGAAGGACTGCAGGTTTTATTTAGTGTATGAATGAGACTGACTGCGTGCACTTGATCACTCTTTCTCTCTCTCTCGCTTGAACCGCATTCTGGGTTTAACTCACGCCAGTTTCTTCTGTCTCACTTCACAGCTTCCCGCACGCAAAGGCTCAATGGGTGAAATCGCATTCAATGGGACTTACTTTAATAAAAATAGCAAATTCCGTTTGTATTTGTGCTCTCTGTCTGCAATCGCATCAGCTTCATACTGCCAAGACATGGTAAGTGTTATTTGTGGTCTGAAATCAAACGGGGTTCTTAAACCCGAAACAGTCGCTTCGAACTGCATCTCTATCCGACTGTATGATTTATGTAGTTAAGTTAACTCATGAAAGGTACTTGTTCTTTTGTTCAATTTAGAAAGTGTTTCATTTCCGAATCTCATCGACACATGTTGCTTTCTATTTCGTGCTAGGGTTCTACCTACTCGTACGCGTACAACTCGATGGAGACAGAAACCAAATTAACTCCTATCGTCAGTCCAAATCGATTGCGTGTATCTGTGATTCACGTGAGTTATTGTGAGTTTATAAACAAAGATGAGCATGCCTGCGAAAAACAATCAAGTATTGGTAGCTTTGTTCAACACGCTCGGACGTTGAACCACAGTGAAACTGGTGCGGTTGATACTCTGTTGTTTTTTCGTTCCTTTTGTCGGTCTATCGTTCCACGAAGCACTGCTTCAGTCCATCGAACGCCTGCAGATTTTAGTTTCTGATCCATAAAGTTCAGTGTGTTGCATTCGAGGAAGATGACGATAGACATAATTTTTGGGATCTTACTTTTAGAAGGGCTTATTTCCAAGGGAAACGAACTACGCATCACAATATGTTAAATTTAATAGCCGAATGAACGATAATTGATTGATTGGACCCGACCATCCTTCAGACTTTACCTTCAAGCACATTCCTCAGCTCATCCGTCCGAGATTTGAACTCCGGAACCGTAGCATGGCAGGCATATGTTACCACTGTGCCAGCCAGCTCATGCCTGGGCTGAAGCAAAATGCTAATTCATATTTTTTCAGGTATCGTTTTTCAAGATGGAGATAAGTGTACACTACTGATGAGCTCTAATAATAGCGAAATTCGAATCTAGTGCTTCCGAGTGCATGCTTGATTGGAAAAGCTGAGGAATGTGCTCGACGCTGAAGGCTGAAGTATGGTCAGTTCGAATCAATCAATATCACATATTCCACACCATTACTCACAAATAACTTTGGGTTAAATGTGAACAATAATTATTGTTCTTCCTCAAAAAAACACTCCAAGGAAAAATGGTTGGATTGCAAAAAAACTCACTTCCAGACCTCACTCATATTTCTATTATTCCCTTAATAACCAAATGCTGACATCCTTTTAAGCAGCATCATTGTAATTTTATTATTTCTATGCTAGTATGAACCAAACAGCATTTATAACCGATTTAACTACCAACGAGTGCAACCTTTGAGAAGCTAACGCATTATGGGCTAACGGTGTTACTGAACACAAACTGCACATTTTTTGAGAATTTCTTGGCAACAGTTTGCGAGTTTTGTTTCACTGATTCTCTGATGTCATTTTCAATTCGATCATCGGCCTCAGGAGCCTCCATTTGTGGTGAAAACCCCGCAAGGATGGACTGGCTATAGTGTTCAAGTGTTCGAATATCTGGCCTCCGCTTTGGATCTGCAGTACGAGTACGTTGAACAAACAGACAGGATATACGGTGAACTGCTTCCCGACGGTACTTGGACCGGAATCGTTGGCCAGGTTTCCGCAAAGGTAGGCAACTGTTCTGAAGATTCGTTTGCATAGTATTCAGTATTGACAGCCCTTTGATTAACCTCTTCCCCTTTCCTCAAAATTTTATCTTTGTATATCCAATAAAAGGAAGTGAAATGAAAAGAAAAAAGAAAGATGTACACGCGCAAACTGTACATTCAAGTGCAGTGATACCCCTTCAGTGATCACAGCCGAAGCATTCCCCCCTCCCTCCTAAACTTTCCCCTGCTGTCCTAACTGGTAATTGGAAACAAGCTTCATTAGGGCCAATCAGACCAACATCGTTTTGCTACCTCGAGTTACCGCTCTACTGAGTTAGCAACCAACTTTGATTGATCGACAATGTTGGTTCGTGGCCCAACGTCAAGAAACTGGAACACCTAGGCGTTTGGCTGGCGTCATCTGGGAGGGTCGAATTACCACAATAATACCAGCAAAATAGGTCTCATCAGGAGCGTGAATCAATCCACCGAACTAGGCATCGAACCCGGGCCTTCACAGGTAGAACACTAGCATATTACCCACCTGAGAACTGGTTAACTGATTTGGTTGAACAAAATGAAAACAGCTTTTCAGTGCTTCCAACTCATTATTCCCACGTTTCTTTTTTCTGGATAAACCGAAACTCCTGATGCAATCACATAATTCAATTGATTCAATTCAATAGGTACATGAAATGCATATCTGTTCACATACTAGAGTAGTATATTTATGAGGTCTCTTTTCAGGATCCGCATGTATGTCAATAAATGCTTGTTAGCTTTACTCCAGGTTTATGAGTTGGCGTTTAACCATGGAAACTCCCATATCACATGAATTTCAAGTTAATCGCTAATCCGACCGAAGACAAAACCACTGTCATCCTGCTCTGGAAATTAAATTCACGCACATAATGTTGTAAACGCAAGCAAATTCCTTTTGGTATACTTCATTGGAAATCTAGGTAATTGTAACGCGAGATTCGGCTGATAGACCAATGGCCGTCAATTCATTCAGCTATAGGTCGATAGACATCCGAGATAAATGCGTGCTTCTAAATCAGTTGTATGAATCCTCATCATTTTATCATTAAGTGAACTACTGGAGGGCACCCACTCTTCTTTATTGTACTTATATGAGTCCTGCATAACCAAAAGCCACCTACTAATTTGTAATAGAGTTGTTTTCGGCGTACGCGCACACAACTCTGTGTTCTGATTAACATCCCCGAAACAAGACAGCCAATGGATAGGCTTGTCTCAATTGGCAAATCGAGCTATCGATCGTTCCACATTTACCCATTCGCGGCACAGCTGCACAGCCTGTCATTGGACATTATAAGGATCACTTACGTTTATCAAAACCCCAGCACCACACCATGAAAACCAATCAAATTGCACTTCAGACTGAGTTGTCTCGGTCTTCTGTATACGGTACACGGAACCTACTAAACTGACAATCATTATTAAATAAAGTTAGGTAAAAAAACATCGCTGTACGAAAATTAGTAGAGTATTTCCCGATTTCTCTTGGGGCAGTAAGTGAAGTACAATATGTGCTCTGAAAGGAAGAGGATCCGACTGCAGTATTCTGCTCTAAAATGAAAATTGATAGTCGTTCAAGCCAAATTGGAAATGGTGTGGTTCAAGCGATTCTGTGTGTGTAAAAGTGCACAACTCTCACTTTTAGTTTACCGTAGCTTCAGAAAACCGCACGCAACCGCCTACACTTACTTTAACACTGTATCAAATTCCGTGAAATTCGCCTTGAGTTCTTAACACATTTTGAAGTGAAAAAATAGTATTGGATTATCTCTGTTAAATTTTGACGGATATTGCTCACGCACAAGCGGTAAGACAAAAGAGGGAACATATTCCCTCACACTGCCTCTCGGTTCACTTATTCAAATTCATCACGGAGTTCAGTTGTTTCACTTATTTCAATATGCCACAGGGCTAGCCATCTGCTTATAGACCGCTAACAAACATAAAAATGATAGAAAAGGCTAAGGGAAAGTGATGCGGCAACTTGTGAGATGCTGATCACTAGGGGATGGTTAGATGTGAGTGAATGAACTAGCTGTGACTGTGAACACGGAGACCATTAGGTGAGCGCACAGCCATTCATAGGTAAATATGGGATGTTTTGAACGCCGAGTCCCTATATTCAGTACATCAACATACTTTGGTTCATTCTTCTCGATTGTTTCCGCAAAACAAACGGGCAAAAATATAGTACACCGAGTTGATAGATCCCAGTGAGCGGAGGTCTACCGATAAACAAGCCCTACTTAAGCTCAATCACACGGCAAGTGAATGGATTGAATTTACAATTTTCGGGGGCACAAAATGGTATAATGTATTCGGACCAATAGCGCCTCGTCAATTGCCAAACCTTTAGTGTTTTCTGTACCTAACAGTAGTTTTAAAGAAGAGTGGTGTCATGAGATACTACTCGCATTTGTGAGTAGCATACAAAATAGTTGGTGGTTTCTTTCGACGATCAAAAATTAACAAGAACGCCGAGGGAAAAGTGCTGTATCTCAGGGAATAACTACCGATTGCTCTATGCATTACCCGGCCTGGTGCCAAGAACTGCAATGGTATGTTTCAAATGAGATTTCTGTTATATGTATGCTTAATTAATGATACCTTAACTGTTATCTGCAATGAGCAACTTCCCTTGACTGAACACCGCCGCGTGGAATTATAACGGCTTGATCAGCTATATGTCTGGTTGACACGAGATATTTTGCAATAGCTGACCCCATGGTCCTTGTGACCGTCGTCCTATCCAGTGTGCCGATCACTTTCTGAACGATGTTGGTCAAAAGTTGAAGTCAGCCGTAAACCGCGCATTCCCTGCTGCCCAAACTATACTTAGTACCTCTACTTGTGGAGTTGATTGGAATAAATGCAAGCATGGTTTTCAAGAAAGTTTTATTTCGTACAGTATGTACCAGTTTATCTACAGTTGCGATGACGAATACCTTACCAGAACAAATCGTCGTTATAACAAAGAACGACCGAATACACTTCAAAGAGGTTCGCAAATTTCATTACGCAATCCGCACCCGCTTTTTGTGTCACCGAGACACATAACTGATTCCCTTTCCTCCTTCAAATCACTATTGGTTGACAACAGTGCGAGGTGTTTGGTCATTGATGAGGCCCCACTGGTCCGATGAAATCATCCCATTTTTGCTCCCAAAAGTTGATTGATTCAGTCCGTCCATCCACTTGCTGTAGAGTTGAGCGTTGTTTCTAATTTCTAAAGGCCTTGTCTATCTCTGGATCCCCGTTTAGTGGAGCTTACATGTTTGTTTTACATCAGCTTTTAAGGCGATTAAACAAAATTTTCGTATCTCGCGGCATATCTTTTTTGGATTTGATGAAATATGGGATGATTTATTTCCGTGAGCTTGGCAACTCAAGTACTTAAAAATACTTAAAATCTTGACAGATGTGATCGTCTTCCTATTTCTACAATGAACATCAGTCTCCTATACTTGAGTTCCTATTTATTGAATTGAATTAGGAAGTTTATTTCGGGATGCCCGCTAATCCGTACGCTCTTCCCTCTGTTACACACATGCTCACAAATGCATACCATTGCCAACAGAAAGCTGATGTTGGATTGGGACCAATCGTCAAAAATCAGGAACGTCTAACTGTAGTGGACTTTTCCATTCCATACTATGAATCAGCAGGATTGGTGATTGTAGCCAAACGGGAAAAATTGAACACGTTGCCAGTGGCCTTCTTTTTGGAATTCCTCACCGTGTAAGTTAAATTGGGGAACTGGGAGAATGAATATATGTATATTTGCGAGGTGCAACTATGATTTACCATGTGAGATCAAATGTTTCTGTACCTACTTCTATTATCATTGTACGCATAGATATTCATCGTCAAATCTAGTTAATGGGAAACCCAACCGTTGGTTGTACACATTATTCTATCAGTGGTTCTTCAACTTGCGCTGTTCCCAGATTTGATTAGTTCTCTAAATCTATGAACTAGGGGTGTTGTAACAGCTTTTTTCTTGTCCACCTATAGATCACTTGATAGTTTCTACTCAATTTTGAATTAAACAATGTTTGTTGATGACTGTTCACGGCCGAACTTGAGTATCTGAAACCCGAGTAAAATGGTTCTTAAAATCTGTTTACACAGTGTATTCGATAACAGCGACAAAAACTACTATTATTTTGAACGGTTGCTGCTACGGCTTTATGTGAAATAATGTAGTGTTGTAAAAAAAATTGAAATGTATTTTCGAACGTCACGCAACACCGATTTCCAAAATGGAACAACTAAGAACGGAATATTAGCACACGTGATTTATTCGAATCGTATGTTTTACGTATTTGAATGCAATAAAAGTGTACAATAATTTTATCGAGTTCAGTTTCATACATCACACTCGCCGCACCTTGAATTGACCCCAGGGTTTCTGTAATACAGCCGCGGCTTCACACTCAATCGCTCATACCTTCGTACGGCTCGCTCATTCACAGATAATTCTCCCGTAGAAGTTAGTTGTTCGACCTTCTGTTCATCAGTCGTATCGAATTGCTCAAAAATCTAAAGAAACGTTATTAAACTGGGAAAGTTCATCATGAAACGGAATAGACTGACTTGGAGTGTCAAAACGAATTTGATCCACAGATCTTCCGTGTACAGGCAAGTTATCATTGTCGTGCACTGGAAGCATTCTGCAACCTAAAGACTTCAGGACGATTCCTGAAGAGGGTCTCAGGTCATTATTACGGAAAAGCACAACTTCGGAGGAATAAACACAACAAATTGGATCTCAAATTTTGACCTTTGGAAAGTTTAGCAGATGTCTTTTTAGTGGAAGAATGAACAGAATTACGATATTGTAAATGGAATAGGTTAATACCTCTCTGAAGTTCAGAAAATGTGGATGAGTGCAGAGCAGTAATAAATGTTCTAACAATAGTCTTCGTCTGACCATTAGAGCAGGGGTGTCTGGGAGCAGTAAGCAAATGTTTGCATCCAATGATACGCAGCCAATCTGAAACACTTTTTCGTGGGGAAGAAACTGCCATTATTGGTAAAATGTACAACAGGAATACCTGCCCGGCTGAAAACTATACGCAAGGCATGAATTGTAACATCTTACGAGGATTCTTTTATGAAAAATAACCCTGGCCACTTAAAGAAGGAGTTAATAACAATAAGAACATACATTCCATCAATAAATAAACCAAAACAATCGGCAGGAACACGTTGTCAAGCCTCACTGGAAATAGGCCAAGGAACCCAATTGGATGGTGACTGTCGAGCTTTGTGGTAGTATTTAGAGCACCTCTTTGCTTTGGAATATATGTCGGCATTCGAGTTCGGCCACTAACAACTAACACTAACCTAGGCAATAACTTCATCTTTTCTATCCCAAGATGGCTAGAATGTAAGTTGTTGAGTATAGCTTTACACAACGTCGGTGGAATAACAATTCTGTCATTCAAAAACAGCAATCTATCAGGCGTAACTGAAAGTTCATCACGTCCAACATAGTGATGTGGAAATTGCTTCCGGGTCTGTGCATTCCAACCCTTCTTCACAACAGTTATTACGGCGGGGAAATCACGACGTATGTCACAAATATGTTCTTGACGGCTCGCGGGGATAGGTTTTACCAGTAATGAATTAGAACTGTCCTCTGATTCACAAGCGGGTAGAGACTTAGGCAAAATGTAATCCACGTGTCGAATGTTTGACACTGCGATGTCTAGTTGTCATTGAGTGAGATGCTCCAACGCTAAACCATAGCTGCAGAGCTTCTGAAAAAGGATTTTCCAGGGTCGAAGACAAATTTAAGGCCTCATGACCGGTGACGATGGTGAAACGATGACCAGAGAGGAACTTGTGGAGGCGTTTGACTGACCAATATGCAGCTAAGGCTTCGCGATGAGTATGAGCATAACCCCGTTCAGCTATTGTTAACCGTCAAGATATACAAATAATCTGATGCCTATTCTGTTCAACAATGTTCATCAATGCCATCAGGTGATGCATAAGTGATAACAGTAAAGCGAATTTTGGGACTGAAGCGGATGAAGTACAGCTTTTATCTGCAGAAAATCCAGAAATTCATGTAATGAATGTTCATGAGTATCAGTCCAAGCAAGCTTGTCGGATGATGAGAGCAGAAATAGTGGTGAACCTTTTTGACTGAAATTAGGGACCAACAAATAGTAGTATTGTAAGACTCAAATCAGGGATCTTAGTTTATGTACGTTGGGCGGTGATTTGTCTTTCATCAAAAAGAGCAGGCGGTTTGGGTCAACTTTGTAACCCTTGTCATCAACTAGATATCCAAGACGTACAATTTTCAAATTCAAATTCAAATTTTTATTATGGGTAAATTACAAAGCTGATGCTTATTGAATCCCATAGGATCTGTACACACTGGGTTCGGTTGGTAGTACAATTGACCAGCAAATTCTGACGTTCATTCACGGGTTCTGAAAAGTTAGGTGTTTCAATGCTCCATCCCGTCGTGATTTGAATGAATCTATGGTTGGTGCACAAACAACTTAAGGTGGAAGAGAGTTCCAGGTGTTACAAACTCTGAGGCTAAAAGAATGACGCCTGCAGTCGAGCCGACTCTTTTGGAGCAGAAGTTTATACGGATGTCCTCGGAGGTGGCCATTCCTGGATATCGTTATTAGAGTACTACACGGGTGGTTAGCTTGATGTAGTATTTGATAAACGAGGATCATGTCTCCCCGTATTCTATGGTATTCAGACGAGCAGAGTCCGAGAATTCGCAGTCTTTCGCCGTAGGTTTTAGATTGTAACCCTTTGACCATTTTGGTTGCTGTTCTCTGCCTTTTGATTGCGAATCAGCCGTGGATTCCAAGCCTGTGGTCTAATGTATGCTGATAATAACCGGGCAATAGGTCTGTTTCGAATGATCCAAAAACACGTTTTAGCAATCCAACGTGTTTTAAACCTTTTGAAGACGCTCTTGCGCAATGTGTGGAACATCCTAAATCCTCATGAACTATAACTCCCAGGTCCTTTTGTTTGGAGAACGCGGCAATGGCTGAGTTCCAAGTAAGTATGGAAAGCAACCCTTGTGGCGCAGCAATACAACCTTGCATATTTCAACGTTGAATTTGATGTCATTAATGATGTATCATCGGTAAGCTGCGTCAAGAGTTTCCTGCAAGGTTTCATAACCTATAGGATAGTTTACCGTCCTCCATGTTTTGGCGTCATCAGTGAATAATAATGCCTTTTCTCCAAGGATATCTGGTAGGTCGTTCATGAATGCTAAGAAAAGGTACGGACCGAGTACGAATCCATATGGAACTCCACGGACAGCCTCAATCGGTCTCGACAGAGAACCATTAACTCGAACCGATACGGTACGCTGTGGAAGAAATTCCTCAATCCAGTCCAGTAGCAGTCCTCGGACACCGTAATTATGGAGCTTTCGCAGCAGTATATGGTGGTTAACCTTGTCAAAAGCTTTGGAGGAGTCGAAGTGGACTATGTCTACTGCCTCTCTTGCGTCGACTGATTTTGTCCATTCATCTCGTGAAAAGTAGCAGGTTTGTGGTGCACGAGTGTTTCCTTCGAAACCCGTGTTGGGCCGGCGAAAGTATGTTATGCTTCTCGAAATGATCCGTCAGAGAATCAGCTACAATCGATTCCATTACTTTTGACAGAACAGGAAGAAGTGTAACTGGGAGGCAGTTCGCAGGAGCACTTCTGCAACCACCTTTTTAAATAGGCGAAATGATGCGGCGTTTCCAGGATTGAGGGATCTTCGTCTTGTCGAACATTCTTTGGTATAAATGGGCAGTTATTTCGGATATGTAATTTGCTAAGGACGTCAGGGTCTGTGGCCGGATGTTGTCTTCTCCTAAAGATAAATTCCGGCGCAGCTCCAATAGTTTGCTTTTAACCGTTTTAGATTTGAAAGTGACGATGGTCAGTTGGGGGTATGGGACACTTGATAGAAGGTGTAGCAGCTGTAATCCGCCTTTGTTACTTGCAGAGAACACTTTGTAGAACTGGACTTTCAGGAATTCGGCTGCTTCAACAGTAGTAGTGGAAACGCGTCCTACATGCCTTAGTGCCGGTATTCTATATTTCACTTTTCTAGTAGCATTGATATGCTTATACAGTAGCTTTGGATTGGCCTTTAAGTTATGTGCCAGATTTTCTTGAAACCTTTATTTATCCTCTCGCACTAATTTTACACAAAGGTTTCTCAACAAGATATAGTTATCCCAAGTGTCGGCGGTCGGACATGTTCTGAACTCTCGCCAAGAGAAATTCCTCTGTGGCATCCATTTCTTGGTTCAACTATCGATTGGTATTAATCGTGTAGGCTACGCACCGTTATGAGTCCTGTTAGTGTTTCAGTTAATCTTTCCCAGGACTCCAGTGGATTTAGCTGCTCTTCTGGTTGTGTCCATTGTTTGACTGCAGCATGGTTCAGCAATTCACTGTGGTCAATTCAAAGTGTGAGACAGAAAATAAACACTTCTTAAGATGAACGACAGTGTTTTGATCAAAAAACCTACGAAAGAGTTCAATTAATCGTGCATCATGAGCGAATTTGTCCGGAACATAAACAATAATGTCATCTTCATACACTTTAACGCCAGACTTACCTGTGGTGATCATAGCCTACGAGTTTACACAAACCACGGAGCGATACGTTACAGTATTAGGACAACTGTGATCAATCGAGCTTCCCAGGTGACGTCAGCAAAGCCTGTATCTGTCACAGCTTCTGGACTACAAACCATAGGCCGGTTGTACCAACCAATCAAAAACCTTGCGGGTCAGACAGAAGCTGAACAACGCCAGAAATACTAGCACGCGATTAGCAGAGGCTTGGATGACCAACGAACTTGTTTGTTTTGTGCATATTATTTAAACCCCCTGATTTCTTTCAATAAACGAACTGCTATTCTTGTGACCTTTTCCTCGCGTCTCGGTTACTTGGGATACTGTGTGCAAGTACCACTGTGATCCAGTGCTCACATGGCGTCTGTGGTTGTTAGTCCGTGATTTCTAATTCGTGATTCTTACTTCGTGACCAGTGGGTGCTAAAACTACTACGATTACTACAATACCACCGTAATTTCTTTCATAACTTATTGGAATATGGCAGGAGAAGAAGATAAGCCAAACGGCAGAAACTTGTATCTGTACAAAGCAAACGAGTTGTCAGAATAGAGGAGGTTTCGTCTTACGGGATTTGTAGATAAGCATCTTTCAAGTCAATCTTAGGAAAGACCTCATAACCAGTCAACTTATTCAGAATGTCCTCTGGTTCAACAGTTGTACAAGTTTGTTTTAACAATCTTGGATTTAGGGTGATTCGGTATTCATATTCTAGGGATCTTACCATCCGACTTGAGTGTTGTGACGATTGGGATACCCCATGCTGATGACACCACCCTCTCAACAACATCTTTGGAACACAAGTTGTTCAGTACATTCATGACAGGTTCACTAGGGGACTTCTCAAGCCACCACTGGCCTTTGAACATATAATGATGAAATCTTTCAGTTCATTTTCAGTATATATCGAGCTTAACACGAGAAGATTGATATTTATTGCTTGCATAGTCTTTAGGAATTATATGGAGGAGGAAAACTGGATTACAATAAATGTATTACTGGTCCTTTTCGAATGTTCATCACTGATTGAAATCTCACAAGAACCAACAACAGGCATTGAATGTCCATTGTTATCAAGTATGGTGACAATGGACGGCTGCAGTTTAGCATCTGGAGCAAACAGTTTTAAGTAATGGACAGAAATTAGAGGCTCAAGACTACCGGTGTCCTAAATGAAATGAACGATTTACCAGTGGAACTAAAGAATTGTTTACGAATATGACCAGAATGGGAGGTAATTGACAAAGTTAAAGGAAAAAAATTGCCAATTCCCCTCACTTCTGAGTCATTGGATTGAATTGAACGACAAGTTTGGATATTGCGACACAGGCTGAATATGACCAGTTTTGCCACACTTGTGACTTGAAGCGTAACGAAGTCGATATGTGTTTCTAGAATGACGTTCGCCGCAGGAAACATAATTGCATAGGACTTCTCCGAATACGTTATGTAAGCGAGATGCTGTAGCTGGTTTGAATTGTTCAGCTGCAGCATGAACTTTTGTGCATTTTGACTGAATTAAACATGGCCGCAGATTCGATGGTCGATGGCATAGAAGAAGCAGCGGCGCGAATATCCTGATATTATTCACAATGAGCCCGTACATCTTTGAACGTTGGATTCGATAGTTTCATAAGTTCGTTTTGCAAAACGCTATTGTTAATGCCAGCAATTAGCTGATCTTTCAGCTGCATATACAGTAAGTCACCAAATTCACACTTTTCAGCTTGAGTGAGTAATTCTAGTAATTCCAAGCATTCACCGTCTAAACTCCAGGATGAAGTTACGAATGTTTGCTTTGGATTGCGCAACACTGAATGGACTTTTGCACCCTCTGAGGCCTTAACGCTGTTAGGCTTCACATGCTGTAAGAAGAGAGATTTTAAATCTTCGTATGGTACAAAAACGGGTATAGCAGGATATGCCAAGTTATTGATTGAATTACGGGCACTTTTACCAGAGGCATCCAGAAAGAACGCAAATTTCTTCTCCTCTTCGGTTTTCGAACGTGTCATCTACCAAATTTCAAAACGTCCAAAATAATCCTGTCTCGTTCACTGCAGTCCCGGTCTAAGGATTCTAGCGAATTCATCGTTCATTAGACCGGCCGTGACGCCAAATCTATTATTGTGAATATAATTCGAAATATAGTTCCGAAATTCGCGCAATACCGATCTCCAAAATAGAACAACTCCGAGTGAAATATCACACGTGATTTTTTCGAATCGTACGCACTAGGTATTTAAATGCAATAAAAGTGAACAATAATTTTATCGAGGTCAGCTTCATACATCACGAATAACTGTGGTGATCTTGGCCTCCGGGATAACACCAGCAACTGAGCGACGCGTTACAGCTTCTGGATAACGAACGACAGGCAAATTGTGCCGACTGAGTAGAAGTTGTGCAGTCCGGACGTAAGCTGTATGACGTCAAGACTACTACTGATAGACACCTGGATAACCAGTAAACTTCCTTTGTACATGTTATTTAATCCCCTTGATTTCTTTCAATAAACGAACTTCTGCTTCCGTGGCGTTTTCCTTGCGCCTCAATTACGTGAGATACAAGCATGCAAGTGCTAGTGCGATTCAGTGTTTCCGTCGCGTCTGTGATTCGCGATTCGTAATCTGTGCCTACTTCAACCATTACAATAACCCAAATTTTTCCACAGGAGAATGTGATTTGAAGAATTCAGGAGCTATTTGGACGGATGCTTTATCACCCTAATTACGATTAGCTGTCGAACCGGAGCAGTTTCATACTTGGATCTGGCTGTTGTCCGCAGAAAACGAGTTTTGATTTTATTATGATCATTTTCAACAGTACACAGATGTTTTTGGTGGTTATTCAAGTTCACTGGTTCTTCTCTACTTACTCTTCCTACACCAGACTGCAGGAGCAACGCAAAAGAATTTTCTCTGGTTGCACAATACGTTCAGCATCCTCAGAGAGTCCCAACTAAGTTTAGGGGAATTAAAAGTCTGTAGGAGAAATATTCGGGTCGTATTTTTTTCCGCTGAACTCCATGGTTGTTTCAGGTATCATTAATTTGATAAAACAATTATGCACTGAGAATGTTTAAAGGTGTAATTGATGATTCTAAATCCGCGGCACACCAACACACCTTTTTTCTATCACGGAACTTGTGGCTTTTCATTTGAAAACAGGTATGGCTGTAATTGACGAGAAACATCACAGGGGGAGATATTTCAGTTTTCAAATGTATGCAAATCTAATATCTTTTCATCTGACAACAAACTATGGGGCTTGGTAGTGTCACCTGCAACCACATGAAACCTTTTTCGTTTTAGTACAGTTTGCTATAAGAGATATTTTTCTGACCAGGTTTACTGTTACGGTTTCATCAGTCCAAAATGTGCAGTTTCTTTTTTTTCTGGAGGAATAACGGCAATGGCTTTAACTAAAGATGGTTCCAAATTCTTAGTTCATCTTTATTCTCATTAAGTAAACAGTTTTAAGTTTAAATGTTTGACAAGGAAGAAGAAAGCATCCAATCGGAGGTTACCGGGGGAC